TTTTCCCTCGTTCTTCAGAGTTACTGGCAATTTTTTCTAGTCCTTAGTAGCCTTTTAAAATACAGGTTATTCAACAGTGAGATTTTTTCCAGGCTCGAATGTTTTCCTCCCACCGTGTCGTTGTTGCCGAGGAGTCGGCACGGGTACGCGGTCGTGTCGCTTGTGCGCAGCACTCTGAACCCTATATTCTTTACTGTACGGAAAACAAGAGTCTAGCTTGTATCCAGTGCTTCAATGAGCGTCCAGCAGAAGACAGGTGCGTTGCTATAATACCTGGGGCTCGTTCGGCTTGGTGGGGGCATTTTGCTGCTTCTTCAATCACTGCTGCCCCTGTGGAGACCTGTAAATCCTGTAAAGGCGTGCAGAAGCTTTGTTGACACTTGACGAGAGCCTACAGGTCCCACCAGGAAGTAGTGTAATTCAACAGGAACTAACAAGAGGAACTAGCGAAAGTGCAAAACGCCCCTCCTAAAGGCAGCGCCATTATTGCTTCCACGGATTCTGCACAGAGATGCAGTGCTGGCGCGAGCGGTCGCGTTACAGAGGTGGATCAGTGAGTTTCAGGGCACGTCCTACCGCTAGAGAAAATTTTTAGAAATACGACTCCTCCCCTAAATTCCCTTCTCCGATACGACCCCTTCCCCATCCGTCAACCTACCACTTTCCCACTTTCCTGGATCCTGGATTTTCCCAAATTCCAATAACGATTTCCAAAAGTTCCCTGGAATCAGCCACTTTTTTCACCGGAATTCCGCCGTCGAGGATGAGGGGAATTGGGGGGGAGGAGGTTTCTTGTGAAATAGAAAAAAAACGGATCAGCAAACCGGAAAACAATTTTTCCAACGCAGCGAACTCCTCTCCCCCTCTGCCCCCCCCAAAGGCAAATAACACCCTCCCCCTTAGGATTCTTCCAACGATGTGAATAGCGCCTCTGAAACAAGAGAAATCAATTATCAAAAAAAATTCCCTCACCAACTACGACCTCCCCTCCCCGAGCGACCAAATATGACCTCCCTTGGCTGGGGACTCGCCAACGTACGACGTGCCCTGGTGAGGGTTATCAGAGGTGAAATTGCTTTGGTCTCAGAAGAAACTAGAAGTAGGAGTGGAAATCTTTTCCAAGAATTGCGACGCGACTGCGCGCATTTAGGGAAAAGGTGCATTTCAACGGATCTGGTCCAAGTTATATAAGTTATGGTGTATAGTTGAAAAATTTTTCAGACACTACTCGTTTCGATCGATGCTGGTTACAAGTCCTGTACCGAAAAAATCGAGAAATGGGCTATGAAACTTCGTTTTATATCAGGTAGCGTGTGTTTGTCACATACATCAAACATACTTGCTCCCTCATCCCCCTTCGGAGTGTGAAGGAGGTATTTCTTTTGTCTCACTATCGCACGAATCAAGTTTGTTTTGAAGTTCCATGCAACAACGCCCATCTCCGCGCAACCCGCCCACTCGGTTTGCGTCCTCTTTAATCATGTTCGCTGCTACTTTCATCAATTTTTTCCAGTGTTATGAGCATCTTGGAATCGAGTTTGCGGTGCGTACTACGGCTCTTCGCGAGGCTGCTTTTCCGCTACTTAGCTCATATGCTTCCATTCTAAAATCGTAACCATTGTTGCCGTCTTCCGCTCGGAGATGAACTGTTCAATTTTAGGAGGAAAAACGCGAAGAGCTAGAAGTGCGGCAGCGAATACTAGCTGAGCACAGCAACAACTACCAGACTGCTAAAGAGAGGTATGTTCGTATCGCTCATTTCGGGAGCGACGGGTCCTCCCGAAGATGAGGCCCACCTCGCAGATCTCGTGCTGCGTTGGCCGAGAGTGTGTTTACAGAATAGCTTCCTCCTCTCTCCCCTCTCCTCCTTCCTCGCTGTAAGTCTTCCTTTGATTCACTTATCTAGTCCTTCCTACCTCCCACTTCCTACGACATTTTGGAGTTTCCTTCACCCCCCCCCCCCTCGAAAAACCGCCGGGAGCTGCGCGGATGGGGTGTCATAGCGGACTTCAGCAAGCAATAAGCCACTTTTTTCGAGAAACATATGGCCCCCTCCCTCAGGCTTACCAATACAGGCCCCTTATGGGAACCACAACGTTCGACGTTGCCCCTGTCGGTAATTTCATCTAGCCAGAGTCTGCAGCGACTCATTGAGCTCACTGTCCGCTACCAATGCGTTCTTCAGAGTTACACATATAATAGCTAGGGAATGGTCCAGTCTCCCATACCCCTCCGTCTCAAAGGTGGGCTTTGTTATGTCCCTTGCTCCCTTCCCCATCTCTAACGTCCCACTCTTAGACTGTCCCAACTTCCTACCGCTATTCCCGGAGTTTTCCGAAAACTTTCCTACTTTTTTCGCGAACATTTTTCTGTGGAGAGGCGGGAGAGGAGCGAATATCGTATTGAATTGACCCATGAGTGATGCCGTTTTTTTTACCTTATCACAATGTTATATGGGTGGAAGTATGAATAGTTTTATATGTTCCACACTTATTCGATAGATAATTTCCCGCTTTATAAGATGTTATTATTGACTTCTTACCATTTCTCGATTTCTATCAATTTTCATTCAATTGAAATGGAGTTTCGGGTCGCCACAAAAATGAGTTTTCAACAGTAACTTTTTGCACTTTATCTTACCAAATACAGAGAAGCTCAAAACTTGTAACATACATGAACAAAGAAAGATGCTTCTAATGACAACCCGAAGTTGGTCCAATTGATCAAAAGGTGGGAATTCGGACCTTGCAAATGTGGTCGCATGGGTTGCCCTCTTGGGAAGCGACTACCTGCAGAACCTACTCACTAACTTCCGAATGTCTAACATCAACTGAGGTGATGCTTTCAAAGGCAGTTGAGAGGGCAGAGCCAGAATAAATGTAGGCATGCAGATCGTTTTTGGGTGTCATACGCTGTGGGCGCAACTTTAGCCCCGGGCATAGTCAAAACAAAAAAAAACGTTTGATGCATAAGGTAGTTTACAGGTAGGAGAAAGGAGATGGTAGTCTATAGGGCGTTTTTCAACCAAACAAAAGGTGTTATACGCTGTGGGGAGGGGGAATGAGCCAACCCTTGAAACTTCCTGTGCTTCTTAAAGAAAAGTGTGGGCAGCAGGCAATAAATCGAGGTATGTGGTCCGTTCAGAAGTGTTCCGATGGCTCTGGCAGAACGTTGGCCAGTAGGCGGAGCCAGGAGCCCAATGAAAACTTTTTAATACATTTATAAGGCAGTCGAGCAGACGAATACATGATACAAGCATCCCACGCTCAGGAAAAGATGCGTTTCGCACACTGTAGGCGGGACTGCGGTCACTGGGCGGTGCCCTGTTCTGCTCTGCCTCCCACACATGTCCTTACTGACCGTCTGAGTAAAAAAGCTCCATTGCTAATTTGTGCCAAATGTGTGCAGCGGAGAAGATAGGATTGACTGATCCCTTTCTTGTCCTTTTTGCTTTCATTTTATGAAACCTTCAGATCAATTAGTGTGGGTTATCCTGGAATGTCCAGAATACTGCGGCTCGCATGCATTGCTTGCCGGCACACTCATGCAAAATGTGATTTTGGTGGACAAAAAAAATTGTGACAAAAATTGGTGACAAAAAAAACACAAAAATTTAGCTTGTTCCAATTGTGCCAACAAATCCATGACACCGTGCTGTCGACACGAGACCGTTTGGCTCAGGAATTGGAACAGACTCAGGAAGAGGCTGAGCGAACTTGCCGCCAACAAATCAAGGAAATCACGTCGATCATGGTAAATTATTTTGGCTCCTAACAAAACTGCAAGGGCCTAAATTGGTCATAAAATATTTGCAGGGTCCCATTCGACTTTGTTTGTTGTCCGCACAGATTCTCTGCTCATCGGCATCTCCTATAGACGCGCTACAGCTATCCAGTGAGCTTCACAAAAGAGTGCAGGTATGGCTCTGTTAGCCCATTGCTAACTATGAAGGGCAGAGACCTGATGTCAGTGTTCGATTGGGTTAGGTCAAGGATCAAGCTCTTCAAATCGCCATACCAGTCAGGGTGCCAGACGGTGTATGTCACGCCGATGTCCTTTGCAATAGTGCTCAGAGATCTTTATGTAGTAGGAAGGAAACTCTGTGTTGAGTAAGAAGGAAGCCCAACGCGAAAGTGAATGTGGGGTGGAAAAACGTTCTAAGATTGCCACTTTCTCCTTTGGTAAGTCGAAAACCTGTAAGGCTCAACTTCTGAACTCCATCCTAAATTTCTATCCAAATTAGAAATCTCACGTAGATTTGGCCACAAATTCATCCTCCGGTTTATCTGACTCCTGAAAAAGAACACCAGAGATGTCCAGTGCGAACGGGCCAAACGCTGGGATCCAGGTGTGTTGGTTTGGAAAACAAAGCGAGCCTGTGGGTCAGGAGATTCACGTTGCGGCGACGCGCAGCTGCAACGTAAATCTCCTGACCGACGGCTTAGTTTACACCAGTCGATTGATTTGACAGCTCCATCGGTTTCGCTTCAAACCGATTAGGTCCCCGTGAGAATGCGACGCTCACACCGCAATTTCGAGGCCCCTTTCCGTAATGTGGATCTCCCGATCTGCAGCCTAGAAGAGTGGGTCAAACGTGGAAAAGTATAGTCGCGTATGGTGAAATCCTCAGCCAAGTGCCCTTTTTCGTTTGCTGCAAGCAGTTTTTTTTACTCCTTCGATTTCAGTCCATTACGTCACGATCTATTGACAAGCTCTCATCAGTACGCTCGATCGATCCGATAGAAGCTCGCACGGAAATTGCAAAAGCTCTGGAGCCCTTCCTTGGTGAGGCTTTCGCAGAGAACGTAATAATCCGTTAATAATGTCGTACTGCCCTGAGGAAATTTGCAGGTTCAAAATTGGTTTTTTTTCCGGAGAGCTGTAATAAGACCTGGTCCGGCTGTGTTGAAACCTGGTTCGGAAGTGCTTTCCTTGACTTGAGAACAGTTCATTTCAGGACTATCAGCTGCATGGTGCCCAATTGCCGTCGCTCGTGAAGGCTCGCAGCCGTCGCCCGTGAAGGCTCGCAAGAAGGCAGTGGAAGTATGAAATCGTACAAAACGCGCTCTGGGTAGGTAGCAAATGATTTTTGAATTGAAGACAAATATTAAAGAAGTGAAAATTCATGAAAATAGTTGTCCATGAATTAATAGTAATAATTTTTCAAAAAACAATAAAATGGCAAAGGTAAATATTCAGCTGTTGGTCAGTTTTCTTTGGAATGCGCCACGCTTTCCACTTCTACCTTAAATCGGAATGGCTTTATATGGCCTATACCATATGACTTATACATTTACTTGCGGGGGCCAACCAATATGCAAGTCATTATTTTTAACCTCCACGGCGAGCGTGGAACCATGTAATTCACTGCACAGATCGGAGGGCCTTAATAGTCTGGGACCAGACGGGTGAGCCCGGTTGAATTACCTTACGTCTGAGATTTTTTTGCCCTTAGACCACCTGTGCTCGGGGTTAAAATAACGAAAACATTCAAAAAAAACCAATTTAAATTGCTCGATCGAGTATTATTTTACTCATGGTCTTTCTCTGAGTGGCTTGCTAACTCCTTTTAAGGTCACATTCCATGCCTACAATGTTGACAAAATTCCAAACGATGATCGACCTTTCTGGAGCGTTTGGATCGATATTTGCCAGAGTTGAAGGTTAGTTGTATAGTGTTCACATTAGGGTACAGAATCGGAATGGATTACAAGGTGGTGTCAGACGGCACCCCTCCTCCCCCTAATTTCTTCCTTCCGGAGAAAGCTTTCTCGCTGCTCGAAAAAAAATTCTGTCAGGAAGCCTTTAATGGAATTCTGCCGGCGATGCTGTTCCCTGTTTAACAATTATCCCATTGTTTCACTTTCTTTTTCAGAACCTCTCAAACAGCTGTCTATTGTACTGAGCCAGCTCGGCGACAGAGTTCAAGAGGCGCAAAGGGATCTTACAATGAGGCGATGTCTGATTCGAGCGGATTCCATCAATTCCATGATTAAAGAGTAAGTTTTGTTATCCTAGTTATTTACCATTCCTATTTTTCTCTTTTTTTCTTTTTTATGGCATAGTTTCTCTATCGTAGTGTTTAGACCGTATATCAGTCAGCTAGTATTCGACTTGCCCCGTTTTACTCTCATTCGGGAGTGCTGTAGCATTTGAATGGGATCGATTTGTGGTGGTAAGCTACTGTGAAAATCACACATTTTGTCTTCTCGGTGTGAGTCTGGTTGTCTGGTCCAACCAATACTAGAGCCAAGGAAATCTCACGCGATTTGAGTGGTGATCTCGAAC